CAACCCTACGGGTGTTGCGGATGTCCATGGGCGGCAACGCTCAAAACAATTTCCTGATACATTTTATTTTCTGTGTATTTACTTTTCTTATTATTTATTTAGTACGCCCTACCGCTTTCTTCTTTTAAATGAATCGCTGTTTTAGCGATTAGGCCGCTTGTTGTACCCATGTGTTTTTAGTTATAAATCCTGTACTTCTCTTGGTGTACAATAAGGTATATTTTACTTTATCTTTATATGTTTATATGGAAAAAAGTGGGCAAACGGTATTCCACTGCAACACCAGAGGGCGTGCAAATGCGACGCCGGCCTTTTAGCAAAGAATATGTTCTTTCCTTGAAGGTCGGGTCGTAACGGTTCGGAAAGACCGCCGGCGCAGCTAGTTCCGCAGAGTGGTTGTGAAATGCAGGACCCTTGAAAATCGCACCGTTGTGCAACATCCAGGACATCCAGGTGGTGTAGATTATGTGAGAAAGTGGCAAACGGGCTGGCGGTTCACCTGATGTTAAGCGATAACTGCCGCCCATGGACATTTGCAACACCCGTAGGGTTGCAGATGCGTTGCCACCGTTCAATAAGTGGGCCCCGGCTACCTCACTCACCAGACGAAACGTAGAAGTATACCTAATACTTTTACTTCACGCCGGTCTACTGTGAGGTCGTGATACTCACCCGGACGGACTTACCCATTCGCAATAGCGAACACTGTTGCGTGGTCCTACCACAGATAAAAAATTATTAATTTCACAGCTATGACTGTGTGCTGTTAAACAAAACAACAGACATATAATATTCCCATGTGGTAATCGAATCCACCACCTCCGGCGAACCCATTAAGTTCATTATCATTATGAAGTCGTTTCAACGAGTTGTTATGAAAGTTACTAAGTTATGTAACTAACGGCCGTTCGTTGAATATAGGAACCGGGCATGAGTCGTCATTAATACTTTAACGCCCGGTTTATGAAACACTGATCATCGTAGATGTCAACTAATCAGCTGTCAAATGCACGGCCGTAGCTAGGGGGGGGCATTGTAGGGCAATGCCCTACCTTAAAATCACAATTCCTACCTTAAAAATACCAAAATAATGCGGAAATATGACCACGTTTTTCAATTTCGTACAAGTCTCAAGTGATTTCCCATCCTACTTCGCCGGAATTTGTATATTCTTTCTATGTTGTACCTACTGTGTTCTATTTCATATTTCTACTCCACTTTATTTAAAGGAGAAATTTGAATTTGTAGGGCTTCTAGGGGAAGATCCTACGAAGGAAGCTCATTTTAAAGGTGCCAAACCAGTAAACGTAATTTTTTGAAAAATCTTTTACCGTACAGGCTGTTAAACTCTACTACTGCATTATAGAGCGTGTCGCTACTATCGCGACAATAAATGAACACACATATAGGGGATAACTTTTTAAAGTTGTATTAAACATTTAAATTCTTTAAATATCAATATTTACAGAGTTATTAAATTTTCCAAAACAAAGAATTTTAGAACACCCTTACCTATAAAAGCGTAACGTAAAGTTCATTTGTAAAGGTCACAAAGCAAATGAATGGGTTGAATGAACTTAAAAGAGACAAAACATACTGTTAGAAGGAGAGGCTTGTAATGCGACGCTGTGGCGCGAGTTGTATAGTAGGATGTTACAAATTTTGTTTCTTTTTTACTTAATTAGTTTGTTTGAAAAAAAATTTTATTTAATTATGGATTTTGTTTAATGTTAATATTTTTTTTATGATTATTGGTAAGTAGCGTTAGACGTGTGTTCATTTATTGTCGCGATGGTAACGACACGCTGTATACTATACTATTGCACAACCTACGTAGGAAAGTTCCTTTACGTCATTGGTTGCCTGGAAGAGATCGCTATGAAGTGATACGGCCGCCAAATTGTGAATTCCATTAATTTGTTTGTCTATTGTTAATTTTGTGTATCCTCTTTTGTGTGGTGGACAATAAAGTATTCATTCATTTATTCATTCAAAAACTAAGATACATTATTGTAATAAAAATTGTAGCGATAGGTATCTCAACTTTTCCGAACATACCACAGCTTGTCAAAATCAAAATAATTTATTTATGGACTTAGGAAACATACATTTCATCTATCGATCGTATTTTTTTTAATCTACCACCGTTTCATCATGAGGTTCCTCTAACGGAGAAGAAACAGGCGAAAGAAACTCCGCAGGTATCCTGTTATTCGTATTTTTTAAAAAAAAATTAAAATATTATACAACTGTTTTTTTTCTTTCTTTTAGAAATAGCTTGGATCGACTCATTACCAGTGTGTGACATTCATTTCATATTCTAATAATTCTTTGTTCTGTGTACTCGTATAAAAAAAGTACCTGGAGGACCGAGCTTTGCTCGTTTTTTTTGGTAAATAATGTATTTTGGGAAATAAAAAAAAATAAAGAAAGCAATGCTGATCATTGAATAGAATAGTATAGAAAAAAAAGTAAAAAAAAAATAAGTGTGTGATCGTGATACGAACCGCGGCTCGCTTGTACAAGTTGCAAATAGTACAAAATAAGTTCATCCGCCGCGCAACCGGTGCGCAGTGGTATCAACGCAACGTCGACCTGCACAGCGATTGCAGACTGCCGACGATTCGCGAATATTTTAAAAAGCTGACCAAACGGTTCTTCGATAGAGCCGAACATCATCCCAACCCTCTGGTGGTAAGCGCAGCAAATTACCAACCCGACACAAACGCGAACGTCAACAAGCGTCGCCCGCGAAACGTCCTCATCGACCCGAGCGACGAAGAGGACTTAGAAACGATGGACCCACCGCCGGGGGTCCCGCCGGATAACACTACACCCACAGTTAGTGCAACAACAAACACACTAGTTTGCCCTCACCTCCGAGCACGGCGAGACCAACACAACGCGTACACAAGGTACAGCCGCGTTCCAGGGCGGTTCTCACCGCCCCCAGCCAACCGATTAGCTAAATGCACAGTCGACGGCCATCGGGGTTTCGGTCCGAACCGCGACCTCGATGGCCCTTAGATGACACACCATAGTTAAACGCACGCATGAGCACATGCGTGGCCCTACCCACAGCGGAGGGCCCTAACCCGTGGGTTCTGGCTAGCCCACCGGTTCTGCGTCAGATGAAGCTTTAATAGTCTCGGGACTGAAAGTAAAAACATCAGTTAATACAAGATACAAGAAAGAGCTCATGCTTCGAGGGCAAATCAATTATGATAAATTTAATTTAATTGTTTACTTCCGCCCTACCTGTAATCAATGCTGCCCTACCTCAAATTCAACTCTAGCTACAGCCCTGGTCAAATGGCTTTTCAAATTCTTTCATCTTAGTTGCCAAAGGATGGTTAAACACATTGAATTGACCAGAATGATCTTCTTAATGGTCAGAATGATCAATTCAAAGAGCTTAACCATCGTTTGGCAACTCAAATGAAATTTGACTGCTGATTGGTTGACATCTAAGATCTACTAAGAACAGTGTCACAGAAACCGGGCGTAAATCTTCAAATTCAGTATATTTATAATTAAACACATTTCTATATAACTGTTTTGTCCTTTATTTAATTACCGTTATCACGAATAGGTGAATAATTAAGAAAAATCATCATTAAACATTCATTTCGGTCGTTGCTTCTTTGAGCCAAAAATAACACAATTTTTTTTTTTTAAATTAAGCATTTGATATTTCTTGCGCTAAGTTACAACAAAACTATTTTCGAGACAGGTTTGAATTCAAGTCTGAGGCAATTCATTAAAAATAAATGTATACACATATAATTGGCCATGTGCTATATATTTAACGCTGTCGAGGGCGTCGCGTTGCTAAATTTAACATTTGTTAACGACCTTAACACAAACATTACTTAATTTAAATATAGCTTTCGGAATAAAGTGAAAACAAAACAAAAATAACCTTAAAAGTTATGCTTTTTTAATGAGCTGACAATTACTACTGATTAGTTAACAGAAAAAATAAGTTCTATTAATACCACAGGAATGAAGAATTTATAAGAATTAAAAAAATATGTGTAATTATTCACGCACTTAAGAGTTTATACTTCTTTAGCGTAAAAAAAGAATAATATCTAAAAACAAATCAAAAATACATTAATTCAAATATACGCTTAAGCGTTCTTATGAATATGAAACGTCAAATTTTACGTCAGTACCCTTTGTGGAAAATACATTAAATGCAACATGATATAGCTAGCTATATCTAGCATACAACATTAACAATAGTAGTTTTATTAGATAACATGGAACTGTAGGTGAATGTCAACAAGTTGTTACTGTTTGCAACATAACGTGAAGCTAGTCGAAGTTGTTCGATAGAACCAACTTCATCATGTCGCGTTTTGACGTAACGTAAAAATTTTTCTTTAAGAAATTCAACATTATTTTATACTAAATTTTTTCCAAACGCTCCAAAAAAAGTACAAATTCAAAAATAGTCTTACGACCTTCTGGTAGACTGATTTTCAAGACAAATCCAGTTGCTAAGAATACATAATTACATACAGACGATCTTAAAAAATATAGATAAAAAATCCATTCCACGAAGAATTGGCGCGTTTAGAAAAAGCTAATTATTATTATATTCTCACTGATAGGTGACATTTGGCAATGAGAGACGAGATTTCTAAGAGCTGCAAAACCAGTTTAGATACTTTTTGTAGCTTTCTATAGCAACATCTTTCTTTACTTGCAAACTCGTTATGAGAAACGGTCAGTTTACTAACGATATACATTTTTTTAAAGATATCCTGTGTTTTAAGAACGTTTTACATACATGACCACCATCTTAGCAGATAAGGAAAATATAACTAAATAGATACTACTTTCTTCTATTGTTACCCGCCTAACCCATCATTCTTCCCCCTTTACCTCATACTGTATGGCTACTGTAAGTTTTCTACACAGCTGCCTCACCAAACAGACTCCGTACAGTCACCGTATCAATCTAATCTATCTGTTCTTGTGTCCATCCATCACTGCCCAGAAACAGAAGTCTCGGGCACAAACTGAAACTCGTACAGGTCGCTGCCACCCCAGCAGACCAGCGCCTGTTCCTGCGCCACGTATTCCTTCAAGTTGTCCTTATTGACGAAGCGGAACCGCTCCAGCGCCTTCGCCGGGAACAGGCCCTTAATCAGCTTGAATCCGGCGGACATTATCCACGGCATCTGGTATATCAGGCTGTAGTTCACGAACTTCGGGTAGTAGCTCTTGAGCAGCGTTATCATGTACATGATCAGGTCCAAATCCATGTTGCTGACGCCGCAGTTGTCCATGTCGAAGAAAAGGGAGACCGGCCGGCCCTCCTCTTCCTTCTCCATCCTCTCCAACCAGTAGACTATCACCTTTTTCAGCTCCTCGACGTCTGTCTTGCCACGCGTGTACAGTTTCCACTTCGTCACGAACAGCAGAGAGCCTTCTACATCCCTCCCGTGGGGGAAAAAGATCCCCGCCTTCAGGTAGTCCAGTTTCACTATTTCCCTTATCCCGTTGGCGTCAACCTTCTTCCTCCAAGTGAGTATCTCCCACAGCATTTTAGCGGCAGCCTTAGCGTCGCCTTCGCAGTGATCCAGCACTCTCGCGACATACCTGTCATCCGACACCCTCTCTAGATCACGCGGGTCGAACTCCCCCGAAGTATTTGACGCTTCCTTCGTCCTCGCCTCAAACAAACCCCTCACTTCGTTTATCTTCTCCATTCTAAAGGGCGAGTTTTCCAATATTATCTACTTATTTCATAGTTCTCTTATCTACCTTCGTCTAGCCGCTCTGTACGACATAAAACCTGAATTTCTCTAAATCTTGATCAATCCTTCTTCTTCATGAGAGGACCCTGAAAATAAAAAGACCTGTTTAATGAAGCTCGAGAGTTGTGTTTACAGAAACAAAATCTTTTCTACAAAGTGACCACATTAACAATTCTGTGGATGGAAAGTGAGACATTTCGTTGCGCAACAGGCAGGGAAAATTATGTATCTAACATTGTGATTTTCTAGTATCTGAGTGTTTATATGTCAACTAGCTGTCCCCGCGACTTCGTCCGCGTGGAATTTAAAATAAATTAAATTTCTAAAATAAAAGTAGCCAAAGTTGCTCCTTATTACATCAGCTATCTGCCAGTGAAAGTGCCCGACAAAATCCGTCCAGCCGTTTCAGTGATTAGCCGGAACAAACAGACAGACAGACAAAAATTGTAAAAAATGTTATTTTGGTTACTATCTGTATCGTTTATACATCCATATGCATTTAGTAAAATGCGATCATTTTAACATTACAAACAAACGGTAGATACACCAATTTTATTTATGTATCTGTATGTATAGATGTATAGATAACATGTCTTTATGTGGTACGGCCGTCTTCCTCCGAAAAAGACCACGGTCGCCACTGCGTTTCCTCTAGTCAGTGAGGTAACCGCAGCCCACTTTAAAATGCTAGCAACGCGTCTGCAATACCACAAGCGTTGCAAATGTTTACGGGCAGCGATAATCATATAACAGCAAAACCGACTCGCTTGTACGAGTAAGGCGTATTTATCGTAACAGGTAAATATAACAGATATTTTTACGGTGGTAGAGCCACCCAGCAGCCTCGGCCGTTGCACGAATGGGCAGGCCCGTCCGAGTAAGTACCACGACCTCACAGAAGACCAGCGTAAATTGGAAGTATGACAAATACGTTCGCGTTTCGTCTGGTGAGTGAGGTAACCGGAGCCCAATTTTCAAAAGTTTGTCAACGCATCTGTAACCCTCGGGTGTGGCAGATGTCCATGGGCGGCGGTATTCACTTAACATCAGGTGGCCCGTCTGCTCGTATGGCAACTTTTCGCATAAAAAAAAGATATCCCGAGATAACAGACTGTACCTGTTACGAAATGAACAAACATAAATAACAGTTCCTGTTCCACACAAGTTATTCCTTAACACGCCGTCACAAGCTTTTACTTATTAATGCATTTTTTTCCTGCATCGGACTTATAGCTTTGTTAGAAAGAGAAGTGCGGACGTTATCATAGAGTCAAATACTTTAACAGCTGTTACTATGGTAACAGTTACACAAGTTGTCACAACGTAGTATTAGGTAACAGGCTGTTATTTTGTAACAGTTATTTGTCACCGTTACTTTTAAGGAACGGGAACATTCGTAACAGGTACTCGATTTAACTTAGTATGGCTCACTCAATCGCTTGCCGCCACCTTACATACTAACACTAATTAACACAATATTAAACAGATCTATTTACTTTGAGTAATGACGGCACACTGCGTGTGAATATCCAGAGGTGTATTTTTCGCGTCGACGTCTCTACGACCGACGTCTGGCCGTATACTGAAAAGTGAAACGACGTCAGAAACAACACGAAAGAGATAGCGAGTGACTCACAGACAACTGACCTTGAACTCGCAAACGCTCGTTCAAGCTCGACAGTACCACTGGAGGTTGGTTCCGTATGCGTATAATCAACTGAATAACATAACTAGCGACGGTTTTTTTATGCGAATAGTTGTAAACGAGCAGACGGTTTACCTGATGTTAAGTGAATACCGCCGCCCATGGACATCTGCTACACCCGAGGGTTCCAGATGCGTTGACAACCTTTTGAAAATAGGGTTTACAGAAGCTTTACCCACGAAAATATAAGTCTTATCCCGGTCTAATGTCAGGCCGCGGTACAGCAGAACGCACAGTAACTGATGTAATAAATTACTAGCGTCCCACCCCGGCTTCGCATGGGTGTAATGCATTTAAACCTTCCTCTTGAATAACTCTATCTAGTACAAAAAACCGCATCAAGATCCGTTGCGTAGTTTTAAAGATCTAAGCATACATAGGGACAGAGAAAGGGATGACTATTTTATACTATGTAGTGATATAACCTTTTTGAAGTGATATTTATTTTCGCGCGTTTAAAAAATGTAATTTAAAATATTCCACCGACTGTTATAAAAAAATAGGCATGTTATTTCCTGTGTTTTTAATGAAACTTTATCTCGCTATCGTAGTACACTTTAGTAATATATTACTTTGTAATTAATTTCTCTTTGTAAGCCGTACTTATCAAATGTCAGTTGACAGATCGCGTTCAATCGAAGTCACTGAACTTCCTATTCTTGTGATTATACATAAAAAGGATGACCTAGCATTGCGTACTGTTACGTTTTTGTTCGGTGCTCGGCTATTTATAATTTTTAAACGCATTCAGGTTAGATAGATTGTTTAAAAGTGCTAAATGTTTATTTTTTACCCGATGAAACATGCGCTTTGAAGTTAGGGCCAAAATCAAGTTGAGTTGACTCGTTTAGTGGGTTCATTTATTCAATCATTTATTTTAAACAATAATATATTATTAAACGCTTACTGCTATATACGGATAAAAGACGCATATGAATTTTTTTTTCCAAAAATGAGTTATTGTATTTAGATATTGAGTTGTCTGAACTGTTTCAGAATAAGTAACTTATTTTTTTAAAAAAAGTCATATACGTCTTTTTTCCGTATGACAGCAGTACTCGTAGTCATATGGATGCGGTGGAGCCACGCAACAGTGTTCGCTGTTGCACAAATGGGCAGGTCCGTCCGGGTAAGTACCACGACCTCACAGAAGACCGGCGAAAAGTAGAAGTTAGTTAGTTAGTTAATATCTTCTTTACATTGCCCTTACTTTAGGAGAAACATTATCCCGTGTTGTAAGGACGTTTTACAAACATAAATTTCACATGGACAAACACCCAGATGCAACTATCTGTGGGTCGCACAAATGGTTGTCCCGTGTGGGGATCGAACCCGAAGTCATTACCTTGGCAACTGCGCCACGGAGTCATCAAAAGAAGTGTGACACTTCTGCGTTTCCTCTGGCGAGTGAGGTAGCCGGGGCCCACTTTGTTTAAAGGTGGCAACGCCTCTGCAACCAAACGGGTGTTGCAAACGTCGATGGTTGGCGGTTATCACTTAACATCGGGTGAACCGTCTGCTCGTTTGCCACCGTCTCACACAAAAGAACCGACCAGATTCGAGTTTGACTCGAAGAGTCCCGTACCTTTATCTATAAAAACGACAAAAAAAATCATGTCTGTTGTATGGGAGCCCCAAATAAAATTTTTTTTATTATGTCTATTAGTATTTAGTATTTGTTGTTATAGCGGCAACAGAGAACGTGAAAATCATCTGTGAAAATTTCAACCGTCTAACTATCACGGCTCATGAGATACAGCCTGGCGACGGACGGACAGACAGACAGCGAAGCCTTAGTAGGGTCCCGTTTTACCCTTTGGGTACGGAACCCTAAAAATGTGCGTTTTTTTAATACGAGCTTGCATAAAAGGAGATAATGCGGAACCCCAAATAGAATTATTTGAAATAAATTGCCCTAACACATTGATTATAAAATCCATTAACGGAGAAGCTTCGTGAATTTCTGTGTGACATTCCTAAAAAACATGTTTGTGGCATAATATATCTATTAATTCAATAAGTTAATTATAAGCTTATCGTCCCATAAGTGGTTTGCGTCGAATTCAAAATATAATCATTATTTAATTCAGCAAAGCTGAATAAAATTGTACGATTCCCGTCCGATTAAAATTAGACTTATGACTGTGGCAGGAACACAATCTTCGCTATTGCACGAATGGGCAGGTCCGTCCGGAAAGTGCCGCGACCAATGGCGGATTTGTAGTCTTGGCCGTTAAAGGCCCAAGCCCGTGTAATAAGTTCCAGCTGCCCCCTTCTCAGCGCCCGTAATGTCTTGTTATCATCAGTGAATTTTTTGCCACGATTGGCCGCCCCTAATATCTGGCCGCCCTAGGCCCGCGCCTATTGGGCCTTAGGGCAATCAGCGCTGGCCACGACCTCACGAAGGGCCGGCGTGAGGTGGAAGTGTTACACTTCTGCGTTTCGTCTGTTGAGTGTGATAACTGGAGCCCAATCTATTCGAATGTCGCCACGCATTGCAACGTGTGTTGCATTTGTACATGGGTGGCGGAACCTGTTAACGTCGGGTTCAGCGTCAGCCCGTTTTCCACCCTCTAATATAAAAAAAGTAATAAAATTATGAAAGCGCCATCTACATTCTTTATTGGGAACTGTAACGGGCGAATGTGATTGCGAATAGTCTGCCATCTATAATAAGCGGTTCAGGGGCAGCTTCAAAGGTGTTACTTTTGTGTTACAGTGATGCGCGCGCATCTTAAAATTTCACTCTCATCATTTTTTCACAACGCGCCTAAAATACCAGTATAACTTTAAAAATATTTCTGAGAATTGTTTTATTGTACACTTAAAGTTTAACACAACCTTGTTTTCAAATTCAAATATCGTTTCCGTTAAATGTAGGGACAGATATATATTCGCAGGTTCTTCTGTGTTATTCCAAAGGCTAGCTAGACCATCGCGATGTTTGCTAGAATTCAATTCATCGACCAGAGCGACTCGATTGACGCAGTGCATAGTGGCTGTTCTGTTGTGCCAGAGGGTGTGTGTTCGATCCCCACTACTTGTGTGATGAATAGTGGTTTTATATAGTAGTACGTTTTTATTTATATAGTAGTACGTTTTTAATTAGGAAAGAAACGTATGTTAATCAGTTATTTAGTACCCATACTACAAACTTTGCTTAGTTTGGGACAAGATAACGTTGTGTAAAAAATAAGCCTCGAAAAATATATCGCCGAAATATGGTTTCCCGCAAGCTTTGATTCAGACGATGATACGAGGCCGGTTTTAGCATGTATTTATAAAAATATTTCACTGTGTTTTGACGTGTGATAACGGGCAACTGTCGCAGTTACACAGCATTGTTTTCCGATAATTTTATTAAGTTCCTTTCAATTGACTTCAAAAAAGGAGTTCCCGATTCGGCTGTATTTTATTATGTGAGAATGTGGCAAGCGAGCTGGCAGTTCACCTGATGTTAAGTGATAAACGCCGCCCATGGACATTTGCAACACCCTTATGGTTGCGGAGGCGTTGTCACCTTTTAACAAAGTGGGCACCGGCTACCTCACGCAGCGTACACCGTCCAGACCATCTTCGATAACCTAACGATCTGGACAGATCTTACTAATCGTAAGATGATCCCCTGGTGACGACAGATCAATAAAAAAGCGGCCAAGTGCGAGTCGGATTCGTGCACGAAGGGTTACGTAAATACATTTTTATTCCGCTTTTTAGTATTTGTTGTTAAAGCGGCGACAGAATTACATCATCTGTGAAAATGTTTCAACTATCCAACTATCACGGTTCATGAGATACAGCCCGGTGACAAACATACAGACAGACAGCAAAGTCTTAGTAATAGGGTCCCATTTTACCCTTTGGGTATGGTACCCTAAAAATTGTGCTTAAAGAAGTTTTCACCTCAAAAATTACCACCGAACATGTTATTTTATATTCGCAAATTTCTGGTAATAAAATTACAGATGGCAACACTAAAATCGTATAAAAAGGTAATTGTCTCCAATTGGATTGGAATGTTCAAGTGACCTTTTGCCTATCACACCGGGTTCTAACGCCAAACTAATAAATATATATTTAGTTATCTATTTTTATGATACACAACACACGTGTTTAATTATTTTAAACATTTTCGGGCCACTGGTCCTGGAAGGCCCCAAAACGCCTCCATATTACCTTGAACAAATCCTAAACAAGGCTTTAAAAATAGGCTTTGTAGCTATGATGTTTCGCGCACGAAGGGTTCCGTAAGTATATATTTAATCTGCATTGCACAGTATTTTTGTTTTATCGGCAACAGAAATAAATCATCTGTGAAGATTCCAACTGTCTAACTATAACGGTTCATGAGATACAGCCTGGTGACAGACGAACAGAACGACAGGCGGACAGCGGAGTCTTAGTAATAGAGTCCCGTTTTACCCTTTGAGTGCGGAACCCTAAAAATCGGGCAATAGGGTAGGAAAGAGTGAAAATGTTGTTCACGAAGAAATGGTGGTCTTTTACCAAGATTCTGCTTCTTCATTATCAACTATTCATATAATGGGAAGTCAATGGATATGCCCTGATGCCCTCTGTACAGAGGAGGCCTTTGCCCAGCAGTGGGACATGTATAGGCTGTTACTTCACTGTACAATGGATGCAGGTGGTTCAGGATCGTACTTCGTGGCAGTCTGTGGAGAGGCCTGTCAAACAGTGGACGCTAATAAGCTGAAATGATGATGATCCAGAATTTTTGATATCCGTTTATTGATTGTCGCTCATCGTTTTTTCTACCACTGCATTTTTTAACCGACTTCAAAAAAGTAGGACGTTCTCAATTCGACTGTATGTTTTCTTTTTAATGCTCGTTACCTCAGAGCATCGCACTTGAGGAATCGAACCGATTTTGATGATTCTTTTTTTATCTGAAAGCTCGCGCCCCCCACGTGGTCCCGTATTAATTTAATTGGTATTAGATCTTGCGCTCCGAATATACTTAGGCAACTGCTGAAAATCAATTGTAAAATGAATACAGAACGAGACATTTTAAGTCGGCTTCGTTTTTCGTTAATAAAAAAAAAACGGACTTGTTTATCTAACCCAATGCTACAGCAGTCTGACTGTCCAGAAGATCTCTCATTCGATTTTCAAATCAGTGCACCGCATAAGTACTCAGTTTATAAGTCAAAAAAGTTAAGATATGAATTTAGTGGCAATCCTAACAATTTTCTTTATATCTAATGAGGGAGGCAGGTAATCAGAAATAGCATACAAATTACTGTGTCACTTTTATCTTTCCTCGATAATATTAGCGTCGATAATATTAGTGTGTTGATGATTAATAATTCGCTATCTGATAATTGCATATTATTTTCCCAAAACACAACCGACCAGCTTGAACAGAGGTTTTGCGAAGTAAAATTTTTATTCTGCTTTTCAATTGAAATGTCAAAAAAATGAGACGTTTTGTTTTGTTTAGACGAAATGTTCAGAAAATACAGTTCTGTTTATCATAAATGATCAAAGTTCTTTGTTTTTTTTTTTAAATTTTATTAATAATATCACCAGCATTCAACTAAGCTGTCATTTGTTGTAAACGGAAAGATAGAAAGTGTTTTTTTTTAAATATATCTGAATAACTTCTGTGTTGCTAATTGCAGTGTCAAACATCGCCGAATAATTATACGAAAGCGTTTAGCCGATTGCTTTGGGATATATCCAGTGAGTTTAGTGGAGTGTTGACCAGACAGGGTACTTACGAGTGGTAAATATTGGTATGATAATATAGCGACTTAGAAGTGTAACGCACTATGAAGAGGTATGATAAATAGGTTGCAACGATCGAATGACAGTAACTGGAAATAACCAAGTGAAATCAATGACTTTCTCGACAATAAGATTGACAACGAACGAATGACAACTGTTCAACTATCACACTGTTCATGACATACAGAACGAATGACAGTTAAAACTAAACAAGTAGATTGACAACAACAATCATTCTATAATGACAGCTGGAACTAATCAAGTGAATTACGAATGAATTTCTCGGACAATAGCCTTGAATTTAAAACATGAGCAGGCTGGAGGAGTTGCGTTCGATGTTTCGCGAGAAGCTGAGACGGGAGAGTCCGGAGCCTGCCGGCGGTTTCGATCCACGGGACACAGAGAGACTCAACGATGATAAGTACTTAACGAGGGTTCTGGAACACTGCGACGGTAGCGTTGAGGCCGCCGCCAAGATGCTCTGGGCCACCATGACCTGGCGAAAGGAGAGCAAAGCAAACGACATCAAAGACGTGGTCAGGATGGACTATGTAGAGGAGGGGCTGTTCTTCCCGCACGGGAGAGACCTGGACGGCTGCCTGCTGCTCGTGCTGAGGTGGAAGCAGCACACCAGGGGGCGGAGGGACGTCGACCAGCTGAAGAAGGTCGTGGTCTACTGGCTGGAGAGGCTTGAGCGCGAGGAGGGCGGCAGACCGGTCACGCTGTTCTTCGACATGGAGGGGTGCGGCATCAACAATGTAGAAGTGGACATTGTCGTCTACATGATCACATTGCTGAAGTGCTACTACCCGAAGTTCGTCAACCAGATAATAATCTACCAGATGCCGTGGATAATGACCGCAGGTGGGTATGATGGCCCGGCTTACGTAGTTTCTAAGCGATGGGCTCAGAGATGCGAGTCGTGTGTTCGATTCTCGAGGGGAACAAGTATTTGTAAGGCCTGCGTGGCCCTACCACCGAAGATTAACGGTGGTAGGGCTACGCAGCAGCCTCGGCTGTTGCACGAATGGGCAGGCCCGTCCGAGTAAGTACCACTACCTCACAGAAGACCAGCGTAAAGTGGAAGTATGACAAATACTTTCGTGTTTCGTCTGGTAAGTGAGGTAGCCGGAGCCCAATTTTCAAAAGGTTGTCAACGCATCTGCAACCCTCGGGTGTAGCAGATGTCCATGGGCGGCGGTATTCACTTAACATCAGGTGAACCGTCTGCTCGTTTGGCAACTTTTCACATAAAAAAAAGACCTGCAGACGATTGTTCTGGAAGTTTGTGCTTATTCAATTAGTCATTGTAAAATTCCTCTACAACACAGGTTTGTCGAATCTCATGTTAGGCTTAATATATATAACTTTTCCTTAAACAGAAAAGGGACGGTAATGAACTCGTTTAAACGTCGACTAATTAACGGGTAGTTAACAACGAGTTGAGATTTGGAACTTCGAAAGCTGTCAATTTATTAGTTAGATACCCATAATAGACAATTTATTAGACGGGAGGAGGGGGGTTCCTAAAAGTCCTAGAAATAGGTTTGATAAAGTCCGATGCGATTATCATTTCAATTTAAACGCATTCTTTTCTCTTTCTCACTATGAACTCAAAAATATTCAATAAATTAAAAAAAAATGAAAACATAGCTAATGCCACGAACCATTAAACGACTGAGATAAAGGTAAAGAGGCGTAAAGTGGAAGTATAACACTTTCGCGTTTCGTCTGGTGAGTGAGGTGGCCGGAGCCCAATTTTCAAAAGGTTGCAACGCATCTGCAACCCTCGGGCTTAGCAGAGGTCTATGGGCGGCGGTATTCACTTAACATCAGGTGAACAGTCTGCTCGTTTGGCAACTTTTCACATAAAAAAAGAGAAACAAGTATTTGCATAACTGTGGCAATTAATTTTTTACAAGACCCTCCTTAAAATACAAAGTCGCATGAAATCATTGTAATGTCATCGGTTTTAAGAAGGAACGTCTTGAAGAAGGTAATGATACAAATATGTTTACGTTACATTATAAATACGTTAAATAACGTAATAACAAATAGATATCTCTTTGTAACTGTTACGACTATTAGCAGCTATACAACCGTAAACAAGCGACCCCCTAGACCTGAACGCTTAATAGTCATCTCTTAGGAAACCGTTAACCGTTGGCCATTAGCAGTTATGTAACCTTGACCAGTAAATCGTTTACCACCCCACCATCGGAACGATTAGAAAACATCTCTTTTTAACCGTTAACCGTAGCGATTAGCAGTTATATAACCTTGACCAATAAACCGTTAACGACTCCTCCGTCGAAATGTAAAATAAACATCTCTTTGTAAATGCTAACCGTCGACAATTAGAAGTTGAGGACTCCGTGACTCCGCCAAGGGATGACAACCGCGCCAAAGGCTTCTGCTTCGGGGTCCTGGGTTCGATCCCCACACGGGACAACTATTTGTGCGGAACCACAGATAGTTGTTTCGCATCTGGGTGTTTTCCCGCGTGAAATTTATGTTTGTAAACAGGATAATGTTATGTTAAAAGAAGAAGAAGATGAAGTTAAATAAACATCTCCTTGTAACAGTTAACCTTCAACAATTAGCAGTTATGTATCGTCGACCAGTAAACCGTTAACGACCTCTCCATCGGCAGGTTACAAGTTGCTGAGGGGACTCCTGCCAGCCCCCGCCGTGCAGAGGTTGCGAGTCGTCACAAAGGACAAGCTGGGCGAATATGTCCACTCGGATCAGGCTTTGAAATGCTGGGGCGGCACCAACGATTACGTCTTCCGTTTCGTACCTGAGAGGGGCGCTAAGAAGCACGTCACTTTCGCCGACGGACTGGACACGTCAAAGGGCGCTCTGGAAGTCATCCCGGGGGACTGTTTGACCTTCGACGCGGCCGGGAGCGAGGTCAGAGCGGGGCTGGTCATAGTCAATTCGGGTGGCGGAGACGCCGCGTTCAAGATACGGACTACGGGCCCGGAGAAGTTCAAGGTTAAGCCAAAGTCGGGCGTTTTGGCGCCGGAGTCGAGGCTTGACGTGAGCATCACGGTGTTGCCAGGATTTGACGCTGCCGTGGCAGTGCAGGAGAGATTCCTCGTGCTGGCGACATCCGTTACTGGAGGCGACGGACAGAAGAGTCTAGAAGAGATCTTTCAAAGTGCAAACGTCAGTGAGTTCAGGCTGAAGTGCAAGTTGGCGGGAAAGCTCGTTAGCAAGTCACCGGTGATGGACGCACTGGAAAAGACGCTAAATAAACATTCCGATTTATGCAGGAGCGTGGATGCTTTGAAAATTATCCAACTGGCAACCCTTGGTTTGACCGCCGTGACGATAACTGTCAGTTATTTGGTATATGGGCGGACCGGAAACAGATATTGTTGAGTGTGCAAATATGTTATTTACGTTAATTAGTTATGAAAGTTACGTTTTTATTTTTTTTTCGTTATCTTTTTTAGATTCTTTACGTTTGTTTTGTTTGATTTATGTATTTAATTTTATTTATATTCATTCTTCGAAAATGTATACAGTATATTTCTTGAAAATATACTTTTTTTTTACTATTTTTTGATATTTGGCTGTAAAGCTTGCAGTTTAAACTTAGAACTAAAACCGATTTGAAGTTATAAAACAATATTTGTTCTTAATAATAAATTATAATTATGTAGCATTGTGTTATATTCTTTTTAATATATTTTTAATACTCAGTTATTAAGCTGCGTACACAGCTAGTTTTGTTGTTAAACGATATTTGAAGCGATTTGAATGTTTCATATCGAAACAAAACATGGCGGACTTAATAATGATAGCATACCCAGAAATGGTTTATCCCATCGTTATGGATTCTATTTATGAGTTTCGTCTGGTGAGTGAGGCAACTGGGGCTTTAATATGAGGTTGCGACGTATTTGCAAATGTCCGTGGGCGGCGGTTGTCACTTAACATCCGGTGAACCTTCAGCTCACTTGCCAGCTTTTCACATAAAAAAGTGTGTGTGTACTTATGTACACACGTTAGAAGTTATACTTCTTTGGCGTAACAAGGTAAAAATCTTTTCAAAAATGTTATCTTTCGCCTTATTCTACGTTTGTAGAAAAAACGACACTAACAATAGAAAATAATAAAATTTTAATTTGGTTCAATACATATGATAATACATAAATTTTAAAATACCTAACACCTTCACGGTTGTATGGCCACGCAGAAGCCTCGGCTGTTGCGCCTAGGTGGTACCTACCCGGACGAGCCTGCCCATTCGTGCACCTTACAGAAGACCGGCGTAAAGTGGAAGTATAATACTTTCGCGTTTCGTCTGGTGAGTGGGGTGGCCGGAGCCCAATTTTCAAAAGGTTTTCAACGCATCTGCAACTCTCGGGTGTAGCAGATGTCCATGGGCGGCAGTATTCACTTAACATCAGGTGAACCGTCTGCTCGGTTGGCAACTTTTCACATAAAAAAACGCTTTTTGTAAATATGTGGTTTAAGAAACAGAAATTGAAAAATTATCTTAAGTTTATTTTTGACATTTCTAAATCTATCATCAATTCATCACGTCTATTTTGACTTTATTGGTATGTGTCTCTCTTAATTTTCTTAAACATGGGCCTAATTAATACATTAAACAACAATATTTACAAAGCGCCTGGTAAAATTGAAGGGTCGATATTTCAAGTATTATATTTTAATAGAAAGTATTAATATATTTTAATAGAAATTATAGCAATATAACGCAAGAATGCAAGGATAATTCAAGAAGGTGAAAGCTTAGAATAGAATTAATATCGTCAAAGTACATTAATTGATTTTTAAATTTATTTAGTCAGGTTTACAACGAGTCAAGTTTTGGAGGTTGTAATAAATTTGTTACGAATAAGGACCTCTTGAAAGCATATATATAAAGCAAAGCCGATATTAAATCGTGTAAGTACTTACATCGAATAAGTATCCTAAAGACCTAATTCATTTTAAAACTGTAAACATTAGAAATATGTAATTAATATTTGTAGTATACAAATGAAGTATTAGTCACAGACAATATTTCTAAATACAAAGAAACTAAGTATCAATACAACAAAAACTATTAAGCAAGCATTTCACTACTGGATATAATATGTTCAATATTAATACATTACATCCTGGAACCGGGGATGAAATTTAATATTGTCGGCCGCAGTTCATAACTAAAACCTTTTCCATTATATATTTTCCATTAAGAATTTCTGTATTGTTTTAAATTGTATATTATCTGTACCCCAGACTCCCCTCACACAATTGAATTTGTCTGCTTAGTCGATATCGATTTAATGGGAGGGCCCTTAAATCGATATCAAATAAATCTATTAGAGATGGCAAGTAAGAAGGTAATTATAATTTGTATCTCAGGACATAGCATCATTGTTATATCCCGATTCTCGTCTGTAGTGATTAGCCAGCCTTAGGCTAACTTATCACAGATAAGGTAATAATTATAAATATAAAAAAAACACTATTTCTATAATATAATCTGTGGTACAAAACAATCCTTTTGATGCAGAAATAGGCTATCGTTGCTCAGATTCAACGAATACTTTTATATATGAAACCTGGTTAGAGTATTTATTATTATTTAATTCAGTACGATAAACAGGAAGCTCGTAAGAACAATGTATAGGATAACCTTATTAATGAATTGATAGAGATTGTACAGCCAATTAGCACTCTAAAGTCGACGTGTTAATGGCTATTTTTAACATAACGTCAACCTTACCACTTCTTAATCAGTGCTGCCACCTTGAAACTTAATGTCAGTAGATTTTTAAATCTCGTGTTATATGTTTACTCTGAAAATGTAACTAGCAAATGCTATGCCACACAATATGCAATTCAATTTTCTTTTTCTTTCACTACTTATCAGAGGAAAATCACGAACGCGAATTATTTCAAATTCTGCTATAAAATGGAAATGTTACTCTAAATAGTAGATGCTAGGAAGAACTTGAAATAATTTATAATTCACAGTGATAATGCAGCTTGATTGCTCCAGCATTAAAAACTGAGTTTGGATTACTCTCATGTCTTTTTCGACACTTGCAAAATTAAGTCAATTCAATTATTGATCGAAGATTATCAAAATTGTACGACACGTTTGTTCTCTAGAACCCCATAACGGAACAAATATACATACACAAGCTCTTAAAGACATTACACTCTTTTGCGTAGCGCAGTCAGCTAAAAACAAAACAATGTATGTGCAAATTCAAAAAGGTCAATTAAACTTGTTACATATCGCCTGTTCTAGTAAGAATGTCTAAAGATGGCAACATTGTCCCTGATGTTTCCACTTTAATCTGACATTTGGAATTGGTAGATTTGAGTGTGACATTTAGTTTCAGCTTAGCTTATTCGATTTCGTTATCGCTTATCATTGTTTTCACAATTACATACATATGTGTCGACGCTGAATAGCTCAGACGCACGAAAATTAATTTTTGTTAATCCTGAACTTCTTAATATGGCTACGCCAGCCGAAGTGAAGTCCTTATTCGAGTCGAGACTGAAGGAATCGCCTAGCCACGATTTCCACCCTTTGGACTTAGAGCGAGTTAAGGACGAGAAATACATACGGCGCGCGCTTAAGCACTACGATAATGACGCCAAGCTAGCCGCGGACATGCTGTGGGAGATTTGCAGCTGGCGAAGGTCTGTTAATGCCAACGAAATCAACGAGACTAACATACGTATGGACTACATTAAGGAGGGCATATTCTTCCCCCGCGGCCGCGATGTGGACGGCTGCTTGCTGCTAATCATAAAGTCAAAGATGTACGTCAAGGGCCAGAAGGACTTCGAGGAGATTAAACGCGCCATCATATACTGGTTCGACCGTATCGAGAGGGAGGAGAACGGAAATAAGATCACTCTGTTCTTCGACCTGGACGGATGCGGCTTAAGCAACATGGACATGGAGCTCATCAGCTACCTCATATCGCTGTTCAAGAGCTACTACCCCTACTTTCTGAACTACATCCTCATTTACCAGATGCCGTGGGTCATGTCGGCGGCGTTCAAAGTGATCAAGTCGCTGCTTCCGGCGAAGGCCGTCGAGAAAATGAAATTCGTCGCGAAGGACACCCTGAAGGAGTACGTTCCGCCCGAGCAGGCGCTAGCGTGCTGGGGCGGCAAGGACAACTATGCATTTGAGTTTGTGCCAGAGAATAAGAGCAACTTGGAGAACACGCAGAAGAAGGTGACCTTCGCCGAGCAGGGCGACAGCCAGCACTCCCCCGGGGAGATGCTGCGAATTAGCCCCAACGACACGATAGTGTTTAAATCGGAAAACGACGATATCTCCGGCCAGTTCACAATAACAAACATGGACGAGAACGCGGTATCGTTCAAGATACGCACGACGTCGCCGGAGAAGTTCCGCGTGCGGCCCAGCAGCGGGGTTCTGCCCAGCGGGGTCTCGCAGACCATACTGATTGTGGTGCAGCCCGGCTTCCACCTGCGGACTGTCACCAAAGACAGGTTCTTAGTGATGTCGGTGCAGATACCGAGAACGGATCTCTCGCAGAAGGAGCTCGCGGACATCTGGCAGAACTCGTCTGGCAGCAAAGTTGACGAATACAGGCTGAAGTGCCACTTCCCGGAGAAGAGCTTGCCAAAGAACGGCAACTTGACGGAGAAGGGCCCCGAGAAATCGGACTCGGTGACGAATGCTTTGAACAATCTACAGATGAACTACGAGATACTTCACAAGCAGATTAACAAGCTCAAGATCTATCAGTTCATGACGTTGATTCTGACCGCAGTGGCTGTCTTGCTGGGTTACTTAGTGTACAAAAACACGAATGAGTACGAGAGGTACTGCGAGCGGATGTAGCCCATACACCTGGTGTTCTATGACACCACTGTGGATCTTCACTCCGTCTTCGACGGGCTGATCATCGTTATCCTAATGATAAACACTCTATTGTATGTTAAATATTGTCAGCTGATGCGCAAAGTTGACCTGTTACACAATGCTAAGTAGTTTGCTACAAAAGAATGGTGTTTGTGGTTGAAGTGTTATTTGTAATGCGAAGGTGACAAATTGTAGTGAGAAGGTTAATATTACATCAACAATTTTTTGTGCGTAGTCATAAGTGAAAGATGTTTTTAAAGAGAATTTCTATACTTGAATACTGATATTCTGAACAGCTTGTTGTCTAGTCTTTGTAACGATTATCAGATATTCTAAGAAATTAATCTTGTAAATATAAATGAATTGATTAATAGGTAAATTTTTCAATGACATTGAGGCTTTAACTGTTGTATATATGGAAATTAGATAAAAGTGAGTTGCATATATAAATTGTTGTTAGTCAAAATTTTAAATCCGGAAAAAGTACTGTAAATCTATTAATAAATATATAGAAATTTTATAAACATCTGTAGCTTTCAATCATGTCTAAACTAAAACAATTGTTTACGAAATAATGTAACCTTTTGCTCGCAGTGGGATAGTTCTACTCTTGTCTTATCTTTTATCATCTTGTCTACTGAAATGTAAAATTTATTTATCTGTAACCAGTTCATCACAGCTTTGTAAAATTCATATAGATATATGTAGAATAATCTTAAATGTACAGAAAATCTGGATAAATTGATAGATATATATCATATTATATTTATGTATAGTTCAATGGTTATTTAAGAGTTAGTTAAGAGGTTAATTTTTTCTTGTCTGCTCTCTTTAGTGTAGCAGCAATAGTATGGAAATTTTATAGGAATTTCTGTATTGAATAAGATATGAAAGCTATCATCTTGAAATCAAATACGAAATTTATTTATGTGTAACCAATTCATCACAGCTTTGTAAAAATCATATAGATATTATATGTAGAATAATCTTACATGTACAGGAAATTTGGATAAATTAATATGTTATACTAACATACAGATCTATGCTATATGTTTTCAGTTATAGTCATGTATGGTTTAGAAATGTCTTTACAAGGTCGATTTTTGTTCTCTGCCCTCTGGAATATATCAGAAATAATAATTGCTGTTTTGGATAAGGTCAGAGAGCTCTGAGCTATTGTAACATTTGTACACAAAAAATTAAACTGTAGTGTTATTGTTTGAACATACAGTGGCTTTTAACTGTTTTTAAAGTAGGCATGTATGTTAAATTCTTTTTTTGTATTACGTTAATCACACTGTAGGGCCTTAGAAAAAAGGAATCATTTATCTTTACCCCCCGTAAATGTCATCGTTTGATGTTTTCATATGATTTACTTTAGTTGGTGTTTGTGTATATGGTGGTGTTTATGTTTACATGGCCTACATGTTGAATCAAAGTGAACATAAGGGCATATCCCGCGATAGGGTTGGTAGTAATTGGATTTCCTGGCTCACATACCATTTATCTCCGCCAGGATATGGCCAATTTGGCTGATATACATTCAACCAGAGTGACCTACTGAGTTTTAAATACATTCTAACCATATAAAACTGAAATGTTTTTATAATATTTCGCATATACTTATCCAGTCTTTCACTCATCTTTTTCAAGAGTCATATATATTATTTCATTTCAATATATAACATTATATCATTTTATTTTAATATTAATTTTTTTTCTCTAAATTACTCTATTTCTTTCTATATGTCATAGATTCTATTAAATATTGTTAGTGACTCTATATAAAATTATTTACAAATAGCGATAGGAAGTTTTATTGTAATAGCAAAAGGGAATTAAAGGCATATTTTAATTAGCGTAAAATACCCCCATAATGTTTTTTTATGAGCCTCAAGGGAGAGGCAAATGTCAATCTATCACGCGGCCATTGTGTCATCCTAAGTGTCAAGTGTTTCATTGAAATTGGGGTCCCTAAATGACATCATGAACAGAGAACCCGTTATATATAGTGGCTTAGTTACTGGAGACTCATGTTTGTTTAGGCATATAAAATCAATGGTATTACAAATACGAGGTAGATATGACACTAGCGCACCAAAACTGAGCCACTGAAATTACGCCAATTGCTGTAATTTGATTGCAACTATAGACTGCTATCTCTTTCCGTATCGTACGTTCTATATCATCTGTCACATTCACTTAAATGTCACAATGTAAAGCGAAACAATTTTTAAACTCAACGCAGTATGGACATGCGTCATCTTTGTTAAAACGTTATTGTATAAAACTAAAAAAAAAAAAACAACATTCCAATGGCTATTCCGTTTAGGATTTGAGTTGAGGCATTTCTTTATTGACGAGTTGTATTATGCTCCCTTTTTTGTTTATGGGTACCTGTTTCATTTATTTAGTGTAGTTGGGTTTTGTCCTATTTGTCTTGTTGTGATATCTTGGTAAAGTGATGGATTTCTCCGCCAAAATTTGTAATGAAATAAATTATAGTGAATCGTTTGTGTATTTTATTCATTTCACCGTTCAAATTACCGCATAATATTTTTGTTTTATAACTTTAGCGTGTATATTATTTCCGATAACTGTGTAAATCTATAAACGTATTATAACATTTCCAATAATTATAATTCTTATCCCCTGCACCGGTACTCTTTGTAGGTGATTAAGAAGTTAAATGCAATTGATAACGGTTTTATTAAATAACTTTGAATTATAAGTAAATGTCAAAAAAGTTGTTATTAATTGACATCCTTGTGCGGGAAGTCGATGGATGCAGGTGGCTCAGGATCGTACTTCATGGCAGTCTATGGGGGAGGCCTATGTTCAGCAGTGGACTCGGACAGGCTGAAATGATAATGATGATGATGATTGTACGCGCGCATCGTAAATATTTTACTGTCATAATTTTTTTCCAAAAGAAGTGTAACTTGAAGTCGGTTGTAAACTTTTCAGGTCCCACTTTATTAGAAGGTGGCAACACATCTGCAACCATTGTTGCAAATGTCCGTGGGCTGCGGTTATCACTTGACATCAGGTGAACCGCCAGCTCGTTTGCCACTTTCTCACATAAAAAATTCTTCTAGAATTCTTCAGAGTCTGACAACTAAAATGGCGGTTGCTGACAACTGAGTGCAGAAAAATTGTCAAAGGCACTTCAATTGACTACATGGTGCAGTTGCCAATGGCTTCGGTGCCGGGGTCGTGGTTAAAATTCCAATACAGGACAAGTATTTGTGGGACCTATACATGTTGCACTGCTGGGCAAATGCCTCATCTGTACAGAGGATATCAGGGTATAGTCCACAGCTGAATGGCAGAATCTTCGAAATATTTTTTTGTTAGCCCAATTTTAAAAAGGTTCGGAACGCATTTGGAACCCTGGCATTTTCGTCGCTGTGGCTATCAGCCGTTTAGCTTAGTGGCTAAAGCGTTAGGCCGCGAATGCCGAAGACGTGGGTTCGATTCCCACAGCGGTGACAATCTTTTCGTACTTTTTCTACATGTTTTAATGTTCAATCTTAAGTGCAGAGATTAGCTCTATGAAAAACTTTAAAATTTATTGTGTTTGTTGTTACACTAGCTGTGGGTGTAGTGTTATCCGGCCGGTACTTATATATGTATAACTTAACCCGCGCCTATTGTAGAATTATTTGTAGTCGATTAATTAGCGTCGATAACGGATGGTACAGCCTTTTGGCTACTCGCACTTTATGTGGTACAGCGGCTTTGGGTTCTTTTTTCCCTATGTTCAAATGTGTTTCGCCTTTTGAATGACCTCCTATGCTTCGATGTTTTGAACTACTATGTTCATGGTATACTCCTCAATTTGTTGCTCCGTGATATCTCTTCTATGGATATGTTGCATCGTAACCGTATTTTACGCGATACCATTGTATACCTTTGGATATTACGTATCGCATCGTGATTTTATAGCGTGCTTCTGAAAAACGTAGGCTATATAGGATATCCTTACTAATATTATAAACGCGAAAGTTTGTATGTATGGACGGATGTTTGTTACTCTTTCACGCAAATAATACTGAATAGATTTTAATGAAACTTTTCAATAATATAGCTTATGCACCAGAATAAGTCTTATTCTGGTGCACTACGTACTGCCTGAACGTTACGCCTTCAGCCTATTCTACGCAGACGTAGTCGCGGGCAGCAACTAGTCACTATTTAGTCATTAATACTTATAATTCACATGTTTTGCCGACCCCAACTTTAGGTGGGATAAGGATGATGATGAATGCTGGTTGATTTGCTTTTTTTTATGTCAAAAGGCAAGACGAGCTTACGGTTCATCTGATGTTTCTTTTTTGACTTTTACAAGACCCGTAGGGTTGTACATGCGTTGCAAACTTTTACTAAAGTGGGCCAGCTACCGCACTCATCAGATGAAACGCAGAAGTGACGCCGGCCTTCTGTGAGGTCGTGGTACGTACTAAGACGGACCTGCCCATCTATGCAACAGAGAAGACACTTGCGTGGCCCTACCACGGTAAACTAAGCAAAGATTTTACTATGGACACAAGGTAACTGATAAACACAATTTCCTTTTGTAAATAAAGGCATATTAAAATATATATAAATAAAAATATATAAACACCCAGACAAATACTATGTTCATCACACAATACTCTTTCAGTAGTGGGGATCGAACCCACATCCTTAAGAGAAAGCGACAGGTCTACTATCCACTTCGCCAATCGTCTCAATGATTATGTGAATGCGGTAATCCTATACATTAATATGCGGAGCAAAAACTTTGCACCCCTTTTTACGAAAATTGCGCGGACGAAGGAGTATGAAATTTCCCACACTTATAGTTTATTTATAGAATGAATGCTAATGTTTTTTTTAGTTATGGTTAAAAAGTACATTGAATCAATATAGAAAACATTACGCACAGTACCTTATTTGCCACGCACACGCCTAATACTCTTTTGTTTGTGTATTGTACCTATTTGAGAATAGATTGATATTGTTCAAACTTGATCGAGTTTCTAATTACATATTTCAAGTTAATTACTTCGATTCGCATCAGTTTGACAATTGAACGCCAAGAAAAATTGGGTAGCGATACAACCCAATTATAATGCATGCTAATTCAATTCAAGATAGTAATGTTAAGTCAGACATGTCTGTTAATACTTTAATTAGCAATCATATAATTTTAGATATTAGATTATTGTAATTGATTCTGTATTTGAAGTTATACTTCTTTTGGGGCGTTTGGAAAATAATGTGAGAGTATTTTCTACTCTTATAACACAATGCCGTGACAACAGCAAACCCAAAACTTTTACAGTGACAGCTGTGCGTTTGTGGAATTCTTTGCCCCTTCACATTCGACAAGATGTCTCTCCTTTCTTTTAAAAACCTAGTAAATGCTCATATACTTGGAACTTTACAATCATGCTTTCCTTTTTCCTTTTCCTATTTTTCCAATTTTATTGATGACAGGATCCCAAGCTGATGGTAGTACCCAACCCTCTTCTCTATTGAAATTAGGGTGTTTTTTAATTTCAATAGCCTCGCGAATCATCCTAGGGAGGAATCGGTGTTCTTTTGCAAGGATCTGTGGTCTACCAAACCTGATGTAGTGGTTGGGTTCGAAACGTCGGGAATTAAAATTAAAAATGAACGCGAAAAATCCGTAAAATTAGTTTCATTTATAATGTGTAATCGCGTAAATACAAGAAATTATTTTGTAAGAACGTTTCACATAAACAAATTTCACGCGGACAAACGCCCAGATCTGAAACAATTGTCTGTGGTTCACACAAATAGTCGTCCCGTGTGGGAGTAGAACCCATGACTCCCGGTGCCAAAGACGAAACTTGTCACAGCGCCACTAAGCCCCCACTAACATTATTGGTTTCAAAACATATTACACAACATTTTTTTCTGCATAAACTGTAATGTATTATTGCTGCTTGCGCAAAGTATGTTAAAATTTTCGATAAACAGTTGCGTTAGAAAACATGACGTGGAAACTGATTACAAACTAAATCAGGTATCAAAAGACCGTGGCGCAGTTGCCAAGGTGTTGGGTTCAGCGAACGTGGGTTCGATTCCCAAACGAGACCAGTATTTGTGACATTATTTAATTGTTGGTCCACGTAAAACGAAAATAAAATTGTAAAACGTCTTTACAAAACAATTTTATCATTTTTGTGGTAGGACCACGCAACAGTTTTCACTGTTGCACGAATGGGCAGGTCCGTCCGGGGAAGTACCACGACCTCACAGAAGACCGGCGTGAAATGGAAGTTTTACTTCTACGTTTTGTCTGGTGCACTCACCAGACAAAACGTAGAAGTAAAAGGTAGGTAGCCGGGGCCCACTTTATTAAACGGTAGCGATGCATCTGAAATCCTACGGGTGTTGCAAATGTCAATGGCCGGCGGTTTTGTTGATTACTTAACACCAGGTGAAACGCGAGTTCTTTTACTACCTTTTCACATAAAAAATCCTACATTAAGGGTAAATGTTTTCGAAGGGAAGACCACAATAGACCTATAATAAACATAGATACATAATTTTGCTATCCATTTTTATGATAGGCGTTCAGTTTTTAACGAAATTTGTACATATAAATCAATGGGTTAATCGTGTGTACCTGGGCAGTAATAAAAATGACAGAAACATTGTAAGGCATTTAAAGAATGTTTATAAAATTCTTTCGAAATGAGACAACATAAAATAGTAGTAACATATCACACAATTAACATATACACATCAGTAACCATCTGCTAAGTGAACACTGCCAGTGACACGCGTGAGAGAGACAACAATCGTGCGCACAGCAGTGGTCTCTTTCTAGAATTCTGTGAAAACATATGGTCCAGTCCAAGTCAAGTACTTTGATTCAGTGGTGGATTTTTTTTTATGGAGAAAAGGGGCAAAAGAGCAATAGGCTCACTTGATGGTAAGTGATCACCGCCCCCATGAACACCTGCAACACCCGAGGGCTCACGAATGCGTTGCCGGCCTTTTAGAAAAGAGTATGCTCTCTTCTTGAAGGTTCCCAGGTCGTAACGGTTCGGAAAGACCGCCGGCGGCAGCTGGTTCCATAGTGATTGTGCGAGGCAGGAAATGCCTTGAAAATCGCGCTGTTGTGGAACGCTGGACATCGAGGTGGTTGAATTCTGTACTAATATATTGCTGAATCCTTAACAGTCATATGAAAATAGTCTCTATTTTCATGGACGAGCTGGACGATCTCTTTCTAGAGTGGTCAATTTTGTGATGGTATTACTCAGTCCATTCTATTTGTCTTTACAATATGATTGCTGTCAAAAATTGACCTGCGAGCTTTTACTAGGTTCTTTATTCACGTATTTTAAAAAATTAATAGGTTTTTGAGTAAACGGTAACGCAATTGGCTTAAGAATACTATTTCTATGCTTTATACTCGTATTGTGAGGCACGTAGGTATTTGAACTTATTTATTTGATTTTATTTCTTTGGTTTAGCTTTGCACACGATACATCAAGTGTTCATATCAATAAGGTTAACAAGTGACAACAACTAACAACGTCAAAAGCATAAACTTACGCTATAGGTAGATAATCGGATAAATAAAACAAGTTTGAAAAATGTTCAGGGAATAACTCGGGCTCGCCTTATTTATTACAGTAATAATTGAAACGTTTATTATCAGTTAACCCGTGAGAATTTTATGAAAGCACGCTAATCAGTTACCAAATTATTAATAATTATTTGCAAATAAGTATTTATCTATGAAAGGTATTTTATTTCTATGAATAGCCGAAAATATTCGTAATCGTAAAATTCATCTTTCATTTAAACAAATTGTCAATATATGGCATTATTTTAAACCCTACCTAATAAGTTTTTAAACAAGGTTTTGGCGAATATTGATCTATGTTTATATTTTGATGAATATTAATATTCATTTATATTCAAGATATAAAAACATTTATATACTACTTTTTATTTTTCGTTAATAGCAACACCAAACAAAAACAAAAAAAAAAGACTCGAGAAATAATATCTATAGATCTAAAAAAGTACTAGAATAACGCGTCTAGCAAATCTTATAAACGAAAATCCAATAACGCATTATTTTTGTTTTAATACCGCCCACACTCATGTTGTTTAAAAAACAAGGCTCGAGGTTTAATACTTTTTATTTCTTAACAAAGGCAACGGATGACACCATGCTGCCCACTTTCCCGCCGAAAGTGAATTGGGGCGTCGGTATTACGCACTTCATTTTCATCTTCTCCGAAAAATGCTTCAGTAGCTCGTCTTCGGTCCAATTGCATGAGGTTATCACGAACAAACCTGTGAAGAGTAAATGAATTAGGCCAAGTCTAATTTGCGGAGTCTTCAGACAAAAGGACGAGTTGTTTTCCGTTTTTGGATTTTTTTTCTATTCGCATAAACTGATTTTACACCTCTTTAATAAACTTTTAATATGTACTGATTCATATTAAAAGTTTATTAAAGAGGTTTTTTAAAGAAATCAGCTTATCTAAAGGTGTTTTTTTTTACATATCCACATATAGAAAATATTGCTCTATTAAGACTCGAATCCGTGACCGAGTAGATCATCGTCACTAGAATTCGTAACTTGATAACCAGATATCAGCCGTAAAGATCTAATCACCAACTACTATCAATATCAATTGTCAATAACATTCCAACAGTTTTGTAAACATGTACTCAGAATTGATAGGTAGACTGTAGGTACACCCTACACAGATAATAAACCGAGCACAGAGCAAGCATGGCACTGTCATAAGTTTCACTCTGCGTCCTATGAAGCTTTAATAGTCTCGGAACTGAAAGTAAAAACATCAGTTAATACAATAAGTTTCACTAATAGAAATCCTTTGAACATTCTTAGCGTATCAATGTATGTTGTGAGGCTTTTATCGGTAATTTTAATTGTGAATACTTTTATGTAACTCGTACTAGTAGTACTGTACTTACTCGTACTAGTAGTACTGTACTTACTCGTACTAGTAGTACTGTACTATACTTAGTCCTAACTCACTACTAATATCAGTTGTTAATTCTTAAGCCATATCTAATATACGAGCATGCTGTGTAATGTAAATGATGATCATAAATTGATATCTACTAAACCAGAGCGCATTGTCAATCCTTTGCTGCTGGAGACCCTTGAGTTTATCAAGCACGCTGAAAATAAGAAGTATTCATTTGGTGGTAGGACTCAAAAGGGTAATTTAGCCAATACCCACCATTGCCTGCGAGCATTTCTGATGCCTGAGCTATGTATTTCTGTCTGTTCTCCTTTGCGTTCTCCGGATTGAGACTGATCGCGTCGTAAGTTCCTTTGTCATGCACCAACTGGAACTTATCCCCTAGATGTGTCACATCATCATTGATTATGTCGAACATCTGAAAAGGTGAAATAAATTTGTGATATAAAAGTGGGCATTGTTTGATAGGAATTCATTCATGAAGTAACTTGTAAGCAGGTTGTTGAACTGAGGTAATAAAACTGTAGCTCAATGACACACACACACAGCGGCAACTTTTCGGAGAGTCTGGATTACCTCAGTTATCAAGATAAACTAAAAGATTAAGCGCTTTTGCTTCATACAAGTCTTGCGACACAGCTCATTCAAAATCAAAATATTTATTCATCGAAATAAGAGATATACATTTCTTCAATAAGAGAGTGCTCTCCAATGAGCCAACTGGTAAGAAATTGCTCAGAATAGAGAGCAGTGTCGTCGAGGCCCTGTTTGAGTCACTGAACCAGCAAAGTAAATAAAAGGTACAAGCCAAGAAGTGGTTTCAACCTTAGTTATACTCATTCACCAAAATGAGGACATTTAATCTGTTAGTCGTTACAAAAATACCTGAAACCTTATCATTGGGAACTGCTTCTGTGTCACCTTCTCAGCAAGGATAATTGCTTCCTCGCAGTAATCCACTCCCAATAGATTTGTGAAGCCTTCCCTGGCCAGCTCAGATAAGGTGTATCCATTACCACAACCTTTAGGATGAAGAATTGTAGTATAATATAATCATAATAAAATAAAAAGAGTTATTACACCTCTTTCTTATTAGATTAAGGTAGATCATTTAAATAATATTCACTGAACATATTAGATACAAAGAACTTTTTTAGATAAGGTGTGCAATAAATCTATATAGACCATGCTGTATTTATAAACAACTCTAAAGCTTACTGTGGCTTTTGATGAATGGTATTTCAGCTTCAGTCTATACTTCATTGCACAAAAAAATCATGGAAACGGTTAGGTTTCCACAAATTAGACAGATAAATTAACAAAAATGAGAGGATTGTGGGCTACATGTCGTGGACGACATTGGCTATGAGCGGTGCGAACCGCGGTCAGAGAGTGGTTAAGGGTAAAGGTGCAGATCACAGACATATATTTTTTTCTCTTATTTTTTTAAACGATAAAAAACATACCCATTACATCACTACATAGTATAAAACAAAGTCATCCCACTGCCTGTCTGTCCCTATGTATGCTTTGATCTTTAAAACTATGCAACAGATCTTGATGCGTTTTTTTTACTAAGTAGAGTGATTCAAGAGGAAGTTTTATATGTATAATACATTGCATCCTTGCGAAGCCGGGGCGGGTCGCAAGTAAATTATATAACCAAAATCTGCACCTTTACAGGCATTCTTGGCACTTTAGCTCTCAACTAATCACACTGCAGTACGTCGAGCTTCACCTAAATCTATGACTGGCGCGTCCTTCGCAATTCCACACTGGCAGATCCATTTGATGATGCGGTAGGCGCTGTCCTCGCCGAACCAGACGTCGCCGGGATCCCCGTGGTCCTCGAAGTTGATGATCTCCTTTTGGTAAGCCCGCTGCCAGTAAGACTGCGTGCCGAGTTCTGACGGCTCCAGTTCTGATTCATCCATTGTAGTATGACCGATGTCCAAAAAACCAGAGTATGGAGGAAGAAGAAATATTACAGCTTCTCAGTTAAGTTCAAACACAGAACACTTACTCAAAGAGATCAAACCATCAAACCAGACCAGACCAGCTCGACGATGACAATTGACAAAGACGTGACACTGACAGCTCCGCTGTCTGAAACCACAGAGTACTTATATTTCTTTACCATTACCCGAAACCTGTAATGTAGAATCTAGACGTCAAACAATCATATTTTTTTAGAGTGTTATATATACAAATACAATGCATGTGTAAGTGCTGCGTTCTGTCATTTGTAAATGATTAATGTTTATTTATAACTAAAGATATATTTGCAATCTGTACAATCTTTATTGATCTAATATTTACAAGATTAAATCTATCTAAAATTACATATTATCTAATAAACCTAATCCACGCGGCATGGTGCCAAGAGCGCTAGCTGCATTTCCTCGCTGAATAGTTATGCTTAGACTTTGAGCGAGAAAAGAACCCATTCGCTATCCTGCCTGGCAGTCCACCGTGCAGTCCGCCGCTCTATGCAGGATCGTGAATGGTGTTGCAGGCCTGCACAGTTTCTGGCAACACCGAGCGCCGACGCGCCTTGCATCCTGCAAGGGTCCTGCAAGCTCCGCCCACCGCTTGCAGTCCGCCGCGCAGGAGAGTCAGTGGTTTGGCCGTCCTGCGAATCGACAGTGCTGCCATATGAAGAAAAATATATGCACTAAGCCTTTAGCAAAATTACGCTATTTATACGAAAATATGGATGCTAACTTAGGAGTTTTTTTTTGTAAATTTACACAGTAAATATTTTCAATAGAAATTATTTAGGAGGTTTTTTTAGAAATATTTTTAGGAATTAAATTTTATTCAAAGGTTTGAAAAAAATCTACACAGGACTAGGTACTTTATTATAGACAAAAAGAAAACGTGTGCATCCCGGGACGCCCGACTGATTTGATAACCTTAAAGTAAGCTCAAAAACTATTTTATATTGAAATAGTTTAACTTGATAAATGCTTATGTTATTACTTAAATTTTATGTATATTAGTATGATAATGTGAGGAAAGGTTATTTATTAATAAAACCTTTTATCTAACAACAAAAAAAACATAGCAGAATCGCTATTTTCTTTTTTTTTTTCGATACTTCACGTAAATCCATAATTGTTACAACAATAACACAGACACTATGATGGACGGCTTGCAGGATAGTGTGTGGGCTACATCCTGCTTTGCAGTCCTGCACGGCGGACTGCCAGGCAGGATAGTGAATGGGCCCCCTAAGACAAAAACTTTTAAAAAAATTATAATTTTACTTAAGATATTAAAAACGATTTATAGTAATGTCAACAGATGTGCATAAAGTGATTTTTAAGTTATTTTTTTTGTAACTTGACAGTTTAGTCGTGGGACATGGTATCCTTTTCATTCTTTTGTCTCATGACACGACATGGCATGAGACAATGACATTTTATGGAAAGAAGTGCCATAATGCTACATTTCAAAGATGTGAGTTTAAGTTGATAGATATCAACACCCATCGAAATAGCGTTATACCCCTCCATTTCAAACCACATGCTACTTAATGAAGCAACGGGAAATAGCAATCTAATAATAAGATCACTGGTTTCATTGCGATGGTCGAGCACATGAGCGTGTTTCATGCTTTTTTCTAGGTGAGGTAAATAATTCAGGCCATTCTTACATTACCATATCTTCATCTGCTCTGTAAGGAATAAAACCTAAGAGCTTGTTTTTATTTCTTAAATAGCTTAAGCCTTGAAGATTCCCTCGTCGTGTATGATACATTTTATGTGGTCCACAAATATTTGTTACGAGGAATTTTGTGTTTGTAAATTCATTTTGTGAAATCCAACTAACTATTGGTCCAAATCATTAATCAGTTTCTAGTTTAGACTTCCCACAGGTTTTAAAAAGCAATTGAAGGTCATTACTATTTATAAAATGTATTCTCATATAACAGCATTCATGGAATATACTCCATTATCAAGTTAGGAAATTATTTTCTGAAAAACTCTCGTTTATTTTGCATTGTAGCAACGCCATTGTAATTAAAATCTGCAATTGTTTTCACTTTTAAGTTTAGATCAATACTTTATTATGTGACTTATTCCCAACGTAGTAAAATAATTAATTAGATTTTTTTATGTGAGTGCAGCTAGCGTTCTTGGCACCATGGCGCGTGGATTAGGTTTATTAGATAATATGTAATTTTAGATTAAATATCATATCAATAAACTGTATGTAACAAACAACGTTGATTGAACGGCAACACCGGCCTTATACTGTCATATGTCAAATTGATTTTTCAAGGAAAAAAAAACTACCATTGTTCATACTTCATATCATATCAGTTCAGATCAGAATCAGACTACCTACAGTATCGGTAATTTGCGTTCTACCGTCGCCCAGCGCTATTAGCGCGCCGCAGTTTCCCATCCTATTAACCGTTTATACCCAATAAAAATGACTTGAGTGACGGCACGGCCTAAAATAGACAGTTTCATGAATAAAAACTCACACTTGCACACCAGAAGCATATGATTGAATAAATTAATTTTCGCCAGCGGCAGTGTGGTTCAATAATCGATAACTGTGTCAGTCATAGAATTTAAGAAATAAATAACAAATAATCAGACCTCATTTGCACGTCTATCTTGTTGGTGCTGTTTCTGTGATAGTGGATTATAGACAGTTTGTTTTAGAAACATTGTTTACGCAATTAACTTGTTTTGCGTGCGAAAATAAAAATTCGGGCCCGGAGTAAAGTGATGCGGTTGCAGATTTGGCGATTTTGGTAAGTTGCACTTTATTTGGAGCACAAACTGCTAGAATTATTCATTATGTTACATAATTTTTATATGGTATTTCTGATAGTTCAGCATAAATAAATATTATCGCAATAATTGTATCAAATCCGTTTTCTCTACTGTTTCATTTACTTCTATTCGTTAAATATATTCTCTCAAGCCCACATCTTAAATTGTTCATTCATTTGTCTGTAAATAATAAAACCTTGACTACAATTATCGCAGTGTACACTTTTATGAACAATAGCATATCATAATGGTGCCAGAATGATTTAAAGTGGGAGACTTATGTTCAGCTGTGGACTAAAACGGGGTATTTCACCCCGTTGATGATGAATTTAGGCTAACTTAGACTTACCTAACACATATTTCAACACTATTTTAATTTAAGAACAAAACCAACTGAAAAGATTTATTTAACTTAATAATCATTTACACATGAAATAGCAGAAAAGTCACGCTGACACCATAAAGAGAAGTTTTACAAACTAGAAATGGACATTCTTGTTTAACATACATTCTGTTAGAAACAGTCCGTTAACTAACATTTTTGGCTGTTTACATGAAGTCCTGCACATAGCTGAAATTCTAACAAATGTACAATAGTTTCTATGAATTTCACAAATGCTATGTTGACAATGACTCGAGAAGTAAATTTGCTAGGTATATTTTAGAAATAACAAAGCGCCCGCACACATTTTCCTGCAATTTTTTTCTCTTCAACATGTCATTTACAATTGTATACAGCAGCGACCTTCAGTTTGAATAGCTTCCTGCAAACGTAACTGCCTTAACTAAAACGTATAGAACATTTTATAAAATGGTTCAGCATTGTCATCAATTTACCACGGCGCATCGTTTTCAATGGCATGAGTGGAAACGTGTTTTATTTAAAGTCTAAAACAATAGCGATGGCTCAGTGAATGCAGCCATCGATTTTGGAGTCGAATCCCACATGCAACACCTACACGTACACACAAGTTCACTGCGCCAATCGGTTGCAGCCAAATAGTTTTTGAACTAGAGTGTCTTAAAAGCGTATTGAATAACATGACGACCCGATTGGCGTAGTGGTTTGTGGACTGGTCTGTTGCGCTTGAGGGTGTGGGCTCAATCCACAAATTTGTTTAAATCATTGAAAACCATTGAACTATGACTGAGAATTGAACCCAGAACACAGCGAGGTGACGTTTCACGTTGTTTGTGCAAACGGAAATCTTCATAAACGTCATTTTATCGTATATTAAATGAAACTAGTTTACGGATTTTATCGAGTATTGATTTTGTGATTCCCGACGTTTCGAACCCATTCCAGCGTTCATGGTCACGGAGCCGACTGACGCCCGGTTTCTGAAACACTGATCAACTCTTTGAATTGATCAGTCTGATCATTAAGACGGTCATTGTGATCAATTCAGAGAGTTTCACAATCCTATTGGCAACCTGAATAACAATTGTAAAGCCATTTGACAGCTGATTAGTTGACTTCTACGATGACCAGTGTTTCAAAAAGCCCGGCGTTAGTTTTTATGTTCTATACTACAAAATATATTTATATATATTTTATATAAAATTTATTTATAGTAACTACGCGTGGTATTAGTTTGTGTCATCATCATCATTTCAGCCTGTTTGAGTCCACTGATGAACATAGGCCTCCCCCACAGACTGCCACGAAGTACGATCCTCAACCACCTGCATCCATCGACTACCCGCACATTTGCACAGGTCGTCACTCCATCTAATGGGGGTCGTCCTACACTACAATGGAATGTACAAGGCTGCCTGTACTCGAGAACCTTTCTTTCCTATCGGTTGTCGGTTCTAAACGATGAGCTATGTAGCTAACCTATCGCCAAACCAGCTTATAACCTTCCGAATTATGTCGTTTACCTTTAATGGATGACCTTATAGCGAATTCTGTCACGCAGAGAAAACCGAATTGTGTTAAGTTATTAGCTCGTAACGTGTGTAGTTCAATTAAGCACACTCGCTAATGTCGCCACGAACTTGGTTAAGTTACTTAACTTTGCATGGGAATTAGTCTCCCGTGGAAGAGGTACCTCTAAGTTATACAGGCTATCAAAGTTCGACGGCCTAGACTCATTTGGTATTCAATTTGCTGTAACGAAGGCGCCGCGTGTATTTTG